GGTGTGTCCACCACCTCGACCCTAGCAGGAACAACTACTATTCCTACTGGCCCGACGTGGCAAGGTAAGTTTACACTTGACGTAGACTGACACTGACCTCAACCATGTGTCGAGGTCTTCGCCCCTCTTATCCCCTCTGAAGGGTTTAGGAGCAGCGATGGTCGTCCGTGGAACCCACTGACTTTGTCCCAGCACCTGTCCCACTCCAAGTTGTGGACCTTGGGGACCAGGCTGCTACACTATCTGCTGTTGGGGTTGTGTACCCTGCGGCGGTTCAGGCTGCGAGACAGCAGGCTGCCCTCTTACGACAACTTGCAACGGAGGTTGGGAGAACTTTGTCTGTATAGGAACCTATACACTAGGACCTGCTGAGAACTCTCCTGCTAACGATATACCTAGCGAAACGGCTTGGACCGATGTTGGGGAGACATATGGGGATACCCCAGTCACCGGTGGGACATAAGGAGGAGGTTGTACAACGGGCTATGCACCGGGCCCGGACAGCGATGGTGCTGCCTGCGCTCGCCCGACCAGCAAGGCCAGACTCTGCTGGATGTCCTGAAGGAGAGCCTTGTGGTGGTCCTGCATCTCTACAACACCTAGCAGGGATGTCCGCAACGTCCTCACATCTGCATCCATATGCATTAGGTCCATTCCCTCCAACTCACTGACGCCCGCTTGTCTCCGCTGCATCCTGACTCTTCTTCTAATCATTCTTTCCTTCACTGCCTTTATCTCTCCTAAAGCCTTCTGTAGTTGTGCCTCCTGCAATGCTGCCTGGTGTATGGCGATCTCATCGGAAGTCAACACTATTGGCTGGCTTGCCATGACGCAAGTGGACTGACTCAGGGTCTGCACGACCGTTGACCCTACGACCCCTGAACTGTTGGCCTGGGAACTCTACCGCGCAGGCCAAGTGGGCTATCGGGCGTCTAGCCGATTGCAAGATCCGGTCGTCCTCACTAGTGGTATCCCTATCGCTCATATGCTACAGAACTATACACGCTCTGCACTAGGTCACTCTTTGATGCCTACCGCAGCGTAGTGCACATACCAATTTAAAATAATTAAATAATTAATTGGTGGCTAAGTCAGAGGCTACACATTTGGGTCCAACAGGTAAGTTCAGGTTCCTACAAACGAAGCTACTTTGACTTTGACTAGTTCGCAAACAGAAAACAACAGTTCTAGCTATGTTGTCTGTCAGATGTTAATGGTTGTACATCTAACTTATTAAAATAAAAATAGAATCATTTGTTGGGTTTGTTTGCATAATGGAATCTTGCCCAAACTTATCACCTGGAATTTACCCTTCCCTCAGTTCTTCTCGAATGTCTCTTGTCGTCAACGTCCCTGAGCAATCCAGAACAGCGTGTGTGTCTAAAGGTGTGCACACGGCCCACCCCTGTGCCCCGAGTCCTGCTGAGCTGGCCAGCCCTGCACAGTCTTTATCCTCGCGTGCAGCGAGCCTTACACCGACCGATTGGCTGATCAAGAGGCGTTTTTATGGACGGCCCCCGAAGTCCTCAGGAATTATTTAACGTCGCAAACAGGACGACGATCACAGCCAATGGAAGGTCCCCGCCGATACTTATTTATAGACGTCCGGTCTCGTCTTTCCCTTAGGGCTGACCTGCCCCTCAGAACCCCTCTATAGCGCAGCGAGCAGACAAAGGACGAAGTAGCAAAGCATGCATGCTCTACTCCCGATGGGTTGGCATGGTGACCGTGTGCTTCGTCCAGGGCGCTTCAGATAGCACCGCCGTCTCCTTCCAGATGCTCCACGTGAAAGCTGACGACTCTCAAGGTTGAGCACACACGACTCCTCAAAATAGCTGCCCTCAACCACAGATATTCTCACCAGATGACCCGATGTTGATTGTGATGACCAACCGCTACTTCGGCACAACCAGCATTGCACCACCGTTCCACTTCAGCATCAATCACACATCGGATAGTTTTCAAACCACTGCGAACACCCAATATTCACCACTTAGTAGCCTTCCTGGCGATACCCCTCACCTCCTGATTCGCCTCACTTGTCTCCACCCTCCTCACTACACACCTCCCATGGCCGCTCGTCCAGCAGACCACGTGCATGTACCGCAAAGGCAGAAGACAAGCGCCAGATGAGCGCACCGTACCACAGCTCCGATACCAAATTGCAAGGAAAATGAGCGATAGCGAAGTTCAGAAATCAAACAGCATCATACACATGAGAGCAGATAGTCGTGACCTCGAACCAATAGCAGAATTGCATCACGAGTTCCACCAAATAAGAACACAGCAAAAGCTCATAATTGACAATGCTGGAATAGTCTCATCATCATCGACTAAGAACCAATGTCAATATCCTATCTGGCGCTCGACGTCCAGACTACAAATGGCAGATCCTATCTAGCCTATCTACAATGCCGCTGATGACGTCAACAGCTCCCCAAAGTACGAGCAGATCTCGGCCAATGCCATACGCTTCAAGCACCAGGTGTGTCTCTCGTATCACTCACAACCTCGTTCCCCAACTCACAGATGCCACATGCACCCAAGGACCACCATGCACCCCATCCAGCATACAGCAGCGCAGCTCGGCTATGGCTGCCTGCACCTTCCCGCTCGCCCATGAGCATGTCAGCGCTGGCCAGCGTTAGCGCAGCATGCAGCCAGTGCCCAAATGCTGAATGCGTGGGCAGGCACTTTCCTAAATGGAAGTGGCCTGCCTGCTTGCGTGCAGCTTGGCTGTGCTGGGCCCCTGCCCAGAAGCTTCCGGTAGGCCCAGAGAGGCTAAGCTCCAGTCCAAACAAATCAGGCCCTGGGCCTGTGGTGGTTGCCCGTATCCAACTGCCCGCGGCCTGTGTTCGGTCCATGTTGCGAATCTGGCCCAGGGCCTGCCTCAGTTACATTGGAAAGAAGCAGCCTGGGCCTGGGCACTCTCAACCAACTGGCGCTGCACAACTGCGTGAATTTCCCCAGTTGCGTGGTGCCCCCACGGTCGAGCCTATGTTCTCTTAGGGCGGCCGACTGTGCTGAAAATAGGGCCCAGTAGGGCGTATCGAGGCCTTGTGCCTCGCAATAATTTTACTTTTGAATTTTTAAGTTCCAAGTTTGGGTCCTCATTTTAATTCGAAACTTGATCTCATCAGCTTGTGGGAGTCTAAAAATTAGGTCACAATCGAGTCCCAGTCTGTGATGCTGTAAGGTTTGGGCTCATAGGTGCTGATTGGAATTACCTCCTTCAAGGTTGGAGCCCCTCCCTGCGAGGGTCATACAAGGTGGGAGGTGTGATCTTTGAGAGGGTACGGTCGGCATTGTGGGTTTGTTCTTTTCTGGCCACACGGATTTTTGGGTCGGATCAGCGATGTCAGATGGGGAGAGAGGACAAGGGGTGCAAATTTTAGCAAGGTGAGCGGTTTGGAAGGCTCTTCCACTTGGATGGTGTGGGACAGGAAGGTAGGGGGAGCTTCGGCTCTGCGGGGGCATACTCTAGGGGGTATTGTGTGCAGCTAAGGGAGCAGAAGTGTATTAGGGGGTTGTTCTGAACTGGGGCTGGGAGGTGAGGTGGCACCTTCCTGAGGGGGCAGTGGAAGGACAGGGTTGTTTTGGGGGGAGGAGTAATCCATTTGGTGTTTATGTGCTTTTGACATGCAGCAGACATGCAACAGAGAGGTGAATAGGCGCACAAATTTCCATGGGGAGAGAGGGTGTTTGTTCCCTCCCTTCCTCGCTCCCTTCTTCTCTCCCTTCCTCTCTCCCTTCCTCTCTCCCTTCCTCTCTCCCTTCCTCTCTTCTGCCTTTCGGGGATAGGTTTCTTACGCTACGTGCAGCTGAATGTTCTGATTTTCTGAGTCTCTAATTTGGAAACTTTCACATGTTGGGCGCCGGTGCTAGTGGGCTGCATCGGTTGTGATGGTTGGAGATAACACGCCCTGGGGTGAAAGAGGCTAGCCTGTAGGGTGGAAATAAGGTAAGCAGCAGCGGAGATGGTGGCTCTGTCGTGGTAAGTCTTCCTGGAGCAAGGTCGAGAGTGAGTTTGTTGGATGGGTGTAACCAGTGCCTGCTTAGAGATGGTGGAACCCAGGCTGATGTCTGCAGGGTTGGTTAGCTCTGAGGCCCTGGTTTGCCGATGCCAGAACACGCCGGCCGGAGTCGGGGCGTTGCCCTGTAACCTGCATGGCAGGAGTGTGAGGCCTTGTAGAGAGATCTGGGGCTTTGCTGAGGGAGGAAGGCAAACCAGTGGTGAACTGGGGGGGGCTGCCTTGACAACCTTCATCTCACGAACTATGTGGTGGAGGAGGTCTGCTTGTCACGAGAAGAAGAGGAATGGAGGTACGCTATTAATGGCCGTGGGACCCTGTGAGCCTATCTTTCTACTGCTCTTCATCTTGCGAACTATGTGGTGGAGGAGGTCTGCTCGTCGTCAGAAGAAGAAGAAGATCAGAGAGAGTTTGCAGGGATACGTGACGGTTGGTTGGGCAATGAGTATAGGTGGCGAGAACAAGTCAGCTATGATTAATGTTGGCTAGGATGACATTGCCTCTGAGATGAAATGCCCTGGTACAAGAAAGGCTAGGAGTTTGTTCTAGGATAAGGAGGTCAGATTTACTGATATAGCATAGTCTTCCAAGAATGATTACATACCAAAAAAGGATTCAAGATTCAAGGTAGCAGGTACTCATGGTCTTTTCTAAATTTTCCTGAATACTCTTGATCGATTCTTAACCGAAGCCAGGTAATGGCCCTGGTATCTCACATGTTTTGTAAATGTTCAGATGGGACGCTGGACCCGGTTTCCAGCACGTGCTGCTCCCCACGAATAGATTGGAGCACTTGTCCCCCCCCCCCCCAAAAAAAAAAAAGAAAAAAAAAAGGAATGGCTCAAAAGTGATGTTGTGGTTTCGTGGCCTGAAGCTCCTCCATCTAGTGATTGTGTGCATGATCTCCTCTGATACTTGGTGGTGGGTGTCTGGGTTCCTTCCTTGTGGCCGCTGCGTGGTCTTTTACAGGTTGAGTACCTTCTGCATGTGCAAGATGTTCTAGCTGCAGAGAAATCTGAGCTTCTAGAACTGGCGACATCACTTAAGAAGCGTGCAGAAAAATTGCGATGTAAAGCGGTGTGGCTCTATGACGAATTGAATGCCAAGCGTAGGCATTTGAAGCAGGCCAAGAAGGTTTGGATTATTGAACTACGCTTACAAGCATCACCCAAGTGCATGACTTTTCATGGTGCCTTATTCTTTTAGCCCCTGGTATAGAACTTGAATTCCTCCAGGGTCATGCTAACCTTGCCTGATCCCTATCTGTTTTCACCACCTATAGTTGGAGTTAAGGTCACGTTCTAACTTCGCCTGATCCCATCTGTTTGATTGCCTACATTTCGAGTGTGTTCTGTCCTTTTCCTCCTCCTCCCCCTCATACGTTCTTCCCCCTCTCCTGAAACAGTTTTCACCTTTGGAAGTAGCCGATGCAGATCCCAGGGGTCGATCCCTTGACCTCAGCTTACCTGTGTACAGTATCTGCACAGTTCCCTGGAGTTGAACCCGTGACCTGCACGATAGCCAGTGGTAAGTAGGTCGCCGTAGGTTGTAGGCTGTAGGAGATTCGAACTGTAGACCTGTAAGGTAGGAGTCCAGGTAGAGTCCAGAGGCCTAGCTGTACTCCTTCTAGAAGGTCGGCAAGTGGTCAAGTGGTGAGTCTAAGGTAGGCCCACGTTTTCAGACGAAGACAAG